TTGAAAGAATTTTAGCTTTCAATCTAAAGACTACGTCTATCGTCAGAAAGTATTTACTTACAAACAAAGAGGTGCTAATTTTACAAAATTGACTTGTATTGTTCAATCGTGGGACTATGTCTATTCTTTACAAATTATTATCCACGACTGGCAGGATGCGTGTCTATTGGTACGTAATTATTATAACAATATGGCAATAGTCCTGGTGGGAAGCGTTTCCGTTGTGATCGCTAATTTTGAGTGTCGGTCGGGCTGACCAGCGTGACGAGATCCCCAATGAAAAAAGCACTGTGGCGGTCTTGCTAATCACCGTGGCGGTGTCAGACCAGTGTGGCGGCAAATCGAAGCACTGTGGCGGGACCGCCACGCTGTTTACATCCTGGGGAGAACACTGGTGCTGTACACATTTGATGATGGTAAAGGTGACATTTCAACATTGAACTATAAAAAAGAAATTCAATTTCAAAACCAAATTGTTTGATTTTTCATGCATTATGTGAGATCTCACAGTACGCACAAAACTCACCTATTCATATGATTTCAAATGTTATCTTCATCACAAATCGCTAACTTCATACCCTCATCTTATAAATCTTTGTTTCTATTTATGTACTTAGGGTCAATGAACTATTTATGTACTTAGGGTCAATGAACTATTTTGCCAATTGATAATTTCAAAGCATTAAATGAACAAAATGTTTCAAAACAATTTTTCAAGACTTAAAACCAACGAGAAAGTGTTTTCATGTGGTTCAAATTTTAAAAAGAAATTACTGTGGAATACTTTATTTTCGCTGGAATTAATTTTCGCTGAGAAGGCTTTTTGGGCGTTTTGTATGGAATTTATTTTCACTGATTTTTGATGAGTTTAATGTGAAATATAGGAAAAAAAGTATATTCGCTGGATTTTATTTTCACGGAATCATCCCTCCAGCGAAAATAGCGAAAATAAAGTATTCTACAGTATAGAAAAGCATAAAACATACATGACAAATGAAAGTAGGAACGATAATGGTTTCCCAAAGATTAATCATCTGTTTTTGTTGATTAGATTGTGCCAGTTGGCAGTGGCAGTGCGACAATGGTGAGTGCATTCCATTCTGGGATATGTGTAATCGTCATGTGGACTGTGCTGATGGAAGTGATGAAATTGGTTGCAATGGTAAGTATGTCTGTCAGCGCCATTCACAAATGATCATCGTCAAATTTTGAAATTTGTGAAATTGCAATAATACATGATCTTTGATAAATGTTGAACTGAATGTTGCAAAACTATTTGCACAAACATTACATTAACGTAGTTGATTGTGAATTTGTACAGGTAAATCGTATGCATACAATAAGGTTATGAAAATACCGAAAAGTGTGCACGAAGACAGTATAGTGTGAGTATTGACCTCTACTGTGCGTCAGTCGATGCCATGGCGTACTGTCTGAGTGCATACTTTGCGGTATCCTCGTAATGACCTTATTATTATATTATCTTTTTCTCTCAATAATAAATATGGGAATGCCGAAATCCAAAAAGTTTAGAACAGAATCAGCGAACTTCTTTGTGTGGAGTCGGGTAAAACCCTGGTGGCAGCCATGTTTGTTTTTATTATTAGAAGACGCTTATGCGAGTAATCATTCCATATTTGAAATTCACATTTCCTAATATAGTAGGATGTAAATACCCCGCAAAATTACGGCACGCTGTAACTTATGGTGTTATGGTGACAGATGTATAATAATTTGTTGTATTCTCATGATAAAATCATAATAATAATACCTTTATTCAGGGTCCATAGCGTTGGGAGAATCCTTTGAAAGTCTTTGGATTTTTTGAGGTCTGGAAAGTCTTTGAGTTGTCTTTAAATTACAGTAAAAATAAAAAAATCTTTGATAAGTCTTTAAATTTCTTCATAGTTATTAATTCATTTTAGAAAGGCTCGTTTTCTCCAGGGAACTACCATATCCTCAGAACTTTGATGAGCTTTGGTGATGATGTTGGCCTGAATTAGGGGTCAAAATGTCTTGGAAAAATGCAAAAATAGTTTAGGAAAAGGTCTGGAAAAGTCTTGGAAATCACTTGGTTGTAGATGCTATGGACCCTGTTATTGCATCTTTAGAAATAACATTTTCTATCGGTTAATAGCAATATGTATATAAAATGAATGTAATAGTAAAAGAAAGAAAAAGTCAGTATTACAAATCACGAGATTAGGACTAGACCACTTCTTCATAATATAGTGATATAAATTATCCCAAAATGCCAGTGAAAATAGTTTTACAAGATTCCAGCCGGCATCATTGTTTTTGTTCACTGACATGATTCTAATTCCATCATATGCAGGGACTTTTTTAAATAAGGGAATAGGGGTGCAGCGCCCTCATGCTATGGCCATGTGCTCCCTTACCCTGGAGAGCAGATCCTCTGGCAACCATAAAATTCTGATTGACCAGGGATTACATGTGGCCACAGTCTTCAACTGTGACCTGTCTGATAGTAATTTTGGCCCAAGGAAGCCATAGAATGCTAAATTTTAACTTAGAATTATCAAAAACTCCACACCCTGGTAGGAAGAACCTTATCTCCCCCACTTGGTTGTGCCGCTAAATTGCAGTGCTCCCTCTTGCAGTTTTGTTTCTAGAAAAACTCCTGATATGTTATATTGTTCTCGTTTTTGAATGTGAACAAATAAAACTATTCAAATGTGTCTTTCGAACACATTCACATCTATACATAGTTTTACTGATTGCTTAATGATATTGTTTTATTTCCTAATTCTCAACTCCAATGAATGGACCAGTTACTTCGACAATGTTCTACACATGGAAACTACTCACTATGAAAGCCACGCATTTCGAAACTACTAGTAATACCGTAAAATCTGTATTAGAAGCCGCATCTCTTATACAAGTCGCACCCATTCTTTTTGAGCAGTTGAGCACCAAACATTCACAATTTCTCATATGTGTAGATGCTCTAATTGAAGTCGCATACCCTCTGTTGCATTGTAGCATTTTAATAGAAGCCGCAGCTTCTAATACAGATTTTACAGTAATAGTAAATCAATTGACACAATTATTGTTTTCCTTCCAGTATGCAGTGAGTATGAATTCACATGCCGTAGCTACTACTGTGTGTCTCTGTCAAGTGTGTGTGATGGTAATTTTGATTGTCCAGACGGCAGTGATGAATTCAACTGCTGTAAGTATATACTGTTTTCTGAACTGCCGTTATTTAGAATTTCTGGCAATGTTTGTCAGTGTCATTATCTGTCATTTTGAAAATAATTGTGAATCACATTTTGTCATTCATTGTAGCCTGTACAGAAAATCACTTCAACTGTAGCAATGGATACTGTATAAACAAAGACCGGGTTTGCAATGATTACGAAGAATGTGCTGATGGATCTGATGAAATGCAACACTGTGGTGAGTTCACTATCAAAAACTACTACATTGATTTGAAACACATAAGATTGTTATAGTTTAGTGGTAAGTACTATGAAGTTATTACAAGAATACCTCAATATAGTCACAGAAATTATGCAGTGAGAGTGTTGACTGGCTTGTAATGGAAGTTGATGTTTCCACATACTTTCTGATTGCATACTTAAAATATTCATTCACATTTCCTAATAAAGTAGGGCACAGATACCTCTTGTAATACTGCAAAATTAGGACATGTGGCTATGTATTCAAATGAGAGAGACACGGGTCCCAAAAATAAATTAAAGTTTTTTAGGTAGAGTGTGAATGACTTTAGGATTTTTATGTTGAAAATGGTACATGTGAAGCAGTGGAAAATGAAATAGAGGAAGCCAAAGAAACTCACTGAAAATCAATTGTTCACAAGGTCTGTATTGCATACACTCTGACAAAATACACTAAGTGCCAGTGACTGGCGGGCAGGGAGGGGACACTTGGCTGGTATATTTAGGACATGTGAGTGTTTTTCAAAGTTCTTACACATGGCTTGGTTTCCAGTTTTTATTCAGGCCTCAGTTTAGACAGCCTGGTTTGAGGTTTTACACCTAAA